CCGGCGCCCGCGCTGGGCAACGGGGGCCTCGGGCGGCCGGCCACTTCCGGGCCGTGGGCTGCCCGGTGACGGCCTGATCCCGCCGTCCGGGAGGCAGTGGGTGAGACGCCCGGCTCCACGTTCTCTCACACGGCAGCGCCTTCATCGCGGTCTTAGGAACGAAGGCTCGATCGGCCAGCCGCGGGATGAGGGGGCGGAGGCCGGTGTCGCCGCTGGAGTCAGGCAGATCCGTGGGCGGCCCTGCCTGCGGTCAGGACCCCAAAGTTGGGAGGATACTTCCGGGAGTGGCCGCCAGGCGGCGCCCGGAGTCAAAACTAAAGTGTGGATGGAGGAGACCTGATGGGCGGAGGCTTTGCAAAGCCGTGGATAGGTAGGTGGCGGGGTCTCTGAGTCAAGCTGGTGAACGACAGGAACCGATCCCTTGGTTGGGTGCGGAAGCCTGGACAGCCAAGAGTGTGTGTGACACAGAAAATGGGGAGTCTGCTTCCGCCCCTGACTCAGTGGGGGCTTAGGCCAGTTGCTGCCATTCTGTCCCGGAGTCAAGAGAACAGGCTTTTCCAGTGCTTTCTTTGGAATAGATTTACTGGGTAAGCTATTTTCCTGATTTGACAAATGATCAAAGAGCTATCATTCTCCATTCAGAAAAAAGAAAAAGGAAGAGAGACAGCGAGAGGAGAGACAGAGAAAGACAGAGAGACAGCTAGAGGAGAGAGACACAGAGAGAGAGACAGAGACAGAGAGAGAGAAAGACAGAGAGAGACAGCGAGAGGAGAGAGACAGAGACAGAGAGAGAGACAGAGAGAGACAGAGGAGAGAGAGAGATGGTGGCATCAGTTTAGAATCCCAGATCCAGGCTGTCCATGGGACAGCTGCCTCGTGTTTCCTCAAATGTAATTTTTAAGGTACTTTTACCTAATCCATTAACTAGTTAACCTGCTCGTTTTTCAGGTGAGCAAATAAAGCATTTAACTACAGGGATTATGTTGGCTAAAATTCAAAAGCCAACGCCGGGCGTAGCGGCACGCTTCTGTAAACCCAGCACAGGGCAGTCCAATCTCTGAGTTCGAGGCCAGCCCTGTCTACAAAGAGAGTTCCAGGACAGCCTGGGTTACACAGAGAAATCCTGAATCAAAAACAAACAAAAAAGTCAAGAAACCTAAGTTTCTCCATGTGTTAATTTGAGTAGCCATGTGCCCCCCACCCCACCCCACCGTCCCAGAAAAGGAATGCAGTGTCACAGTTTTGGGGGGGAAAAAAGCCAGGTGGTGATGGCTCAAGCCTTTAATTCCCAGCACTCCAGAGACAGAGGCAGGCAGATCTCTGTGAGTTCGAGGCCAGCCTGGTCTACAGAGCGAGTTCCAGGGCAGCCAGGGCTACACAGAAACCCCGTCACAAACAATCAAAATAAATAATAAAATAAAAATTTTAAAAGGTGGCCTCTGCCTAGTGGCTCAGGACTATCATCCCAGCTACTCAGGATGATAAAAGCAGGAGGGAGGGCAAGATCAAGGTCAGCCAGCTTAGTGAGACCACGTCTGAAAACAAAAGTAAAATAGAGGGCCACGGATGCCGCTGGGTAGAGCACTCGCCTGGCCTGGCACGCTGGAGACCCCAGCTTCAATTCCTAATACCAGGAGGCAGGGAAGATGTGGTCTCAGGAACACCTTTCAGCTGAGTCAAATCTGCACAGAAAAGGGAAGAAGTAACAAAGCCGGGCAGATAGTGTGATGTGAATGTGGTGAGAGGCAGGGTGGGACCCAATGCAATATTCTGATTCTCAAATCCTTTGTGATCATCTTTATTTCCAAATTAGCCCCAGAGAGACTTCCAAAAATAAGAACCTTCTTTCTCAGTCCCATTCGTTCTGACATCTCCTATTTACTACCTTGTTTTAATTAAATCTTGGCTCTCCTTGTAAGGGCTATTTCCTCTGTGTGAAATGCAAGAATTTCCAGAATGCAATGCTGGGATGACTTTCCCAGAAGTTCTGGGATCTGAAACCTCTTCTCAACAAGTCTTTCTTCAAGCACAGTCTCAGCAGAAGTTTGCAGAGAGGTCTCTCCTGCAACGAATGAGGTCAGCTGTGTGTGTGTGTGTGTGTGTGTGTGTGTGTGTGTGTGTGTGTGTGTGTACTGTTGGATCACATGTAAACTATCTGAATCCACTGTGGGACTGGAGCTCCCATTAGAAATACTATGCACAAAGCAGAAAAAAAATAAAGGGCAACATTTTTGAAATCAGAATTCATTGATACAATGAATCAAAAAGTAGATGGCTTTGTTACTAAATAGTTACAAGAAGCTGGGCCCTTCTTTTATAATCTTGCCTGCGTTTAACTTTTATTTCTGTCTCCCTGATTGCTGACAACCTGTGTTAATAGTCGTGTGTTCCTGTTTTGTGTGTATTACGGAGACACAAACAAACAGTTGGATGATCACAATTTACCCCTTATCTTCCATGGAGACTGCTGAGTCCGCCCAGTAAGCAGTTTACTAGTGTGTTTCTAAAAGAGGGAAACTACATTTTAAAAATCCCTCATGACCTGAGGTTTGGCCAACTTCGCCTATAAAACCTAGGTTTTCTTCAAAATCAAGTTTCACCCCTTAAAGTCTTCCACAGCTTCTCTCCCAAACATGGTACTCAGACTACTCAGGAAAACACCCACCTTGGAAGTGGACCTGAAGCTCACATCCTGGAGCCCAATGTTCACAACCTCAGGCCTTCCCAGGCAGCCTGTGTTCCCATCATCCAGATTTTAAGGGTGTCCAGGTAATGGAATGAAGTTTGATTTGCAAACAGACAATGTTTGGGATGAAAATGTGGGCTGGGGGGTAGAGCTCAATGGTTTTTAAGAAGAAGAAAAGAAGGAGGAAAAGAAAGAAAGAGAGAGAGAAAGAGAGAGAGAGAGAGAGAGAGAGAGAGAGAGAGAGAGAGAAAGAGAGAAAGAGAGAAAGGAAGAAGAACCAATTTTCTAACCTGTTGGAGTAGCTCTGGTCAATCTCCAGTGCTTTAAAAAAAATAGGGCAGGTGTGGTGGTGGCCACGCCTTTAATCCTAGCCAGAGGCAGGGGCAGGCAGATCTCTGTGAGTCTAAGGCCAAGCTGTCTACACAGAAGAGTTCTAGGCCTGGACTACATCGTGAGACCCAATTGCAGATAAACAAATAAATAAGAAAAAAAAGTTTGTAGTGGAGTATTTACTAAGAGATTAGGTGTGACTACATCTGACAAGGCTTATGGGGAAATTTTGCCCCTACAGCAAGCTGTTTTGAGCTTCTACCGTTAACTGAAACAACACAGCCGTTTCCGCAAAAATAGGAGACAGGTCCTGGTGCACTTTAATCCCTGGCAAGCACTGTGTTTCAGCGTGGCTCAGGATGGATCCAGGTTATTGCAGGGTGTGCTTGGGGTCAAAACTCAGTGTCTCTTCTACCTTTGGTTCATTAAAGCCTAAAGCCTGTGACCCTGAATGAGGTTCAGCTGAATATGCTTGCTGGAACCTTGCCAAAGCTAACGGGGTCCCCCTACCCCAACTCCTTGTCCAACCGTGGTATTCAAAACTCACAAAATGAATAGTTTCCACTTTTCCTTCCTTCTTTCTTCCTTCTCTCTCTCTCTCTCTCTCTCTCTCTCTCTCTGTCTTTCTCTCTCCCTCCCTCCCTTCCTTTTTTTCTTTCCTTTTAAGGTCTAGCTCTAGCCCATGCTGGACTCAAACTTGAGGCGATCCTCCTGCCTCTGCCTGCAGGGTATTGATGGTCAGTCACATCAAATCCGGCCACAATGAGTGCAAAGGCTTGACTTTTCAAATATGCGCCCAGACCGTGTTAAGTACTTAGCTGTGTAGAGGGTTTATCCAGTCTACAGATTTTTTCCCCCCCTTCTCCAGCAGTAAACTGACGTCCACTGAAAGCAAGGCAAGAAAACGCAATTCCCCTGTCTGAGAGCTAGGAAATATTTACAAGCCCCAGGAGGATGAAAGCTTGCCTTAAGGGTGACTAGGAATTGTGAAAGGTCCAGCGAGGGACCAGGTCCACTCCCCATGCTCTCCCACGGTGGTCTCCCAAGAAAAACCAAGGCGTGGGGAAGAGAGCCACGAACTTTGACCCCTGCGCTGTACAAACAAGCCCGACCGCACCCGAAGAGGGTCACGGCTAACCCGAGTGGAGAAAGCTTCCGCGTTTGGCAGAGCCCCGCCCACAAGACAAGCCCACGCCCAGCTCCGCCAATCCCCTGGCTCCATCGACCGCTCGGGCTTCCTCAGGCAAGGCCAATCGAACGCCTACATGCGACAGGGGGCCCGAGGCCGGCGACCAGGGATGGTCAGTAGAGAGCCTATCAGAGCGCGGCTGGGGGCGGGGCCGAGGGGCGGGCCCGCGTGGGGGGG